TTTTGTACATGTGAACTTTATAAATTAATGATTATTCATTAAAGAGGAAATGTCGTGTGAGCTCTGCTGAATATCTCCACTTTTTCCACAATTACTTTGGCGTTTATGCGCTCATGTTCTCTCATTCAGTGCTGAACTAGACCGGACCAGACCAACAACATCAGCAAACATGTTATTCCCCTCCATAATGACTTGATAAAGAGCAGCTTTATTGAAGCGTTGGGTGTTTGCATGAGTGTTAATAAAGACTGGGTTTCAGGATTTATTGCTGCTGCTCTCTACAGCCGCCCATTCAAACAGATGAGTTTGGAATGCAACTTCAAAAAGATCTTTCTTACGTTTGTTGCCAGAATGTAATTTAGCCTACATATTGGGGCAGAAGCAGTGAGTCTTTGTGCAGGCAGTTGAAGAATCAGTCTGAAATTTTACAAAATGTTAATTATTCAACCGCTATTTTTCTTTGAAACACAAGAGTGTTCTCAAAGACTAATGTACTGTTCTATAAACATGAAAATGCAGGGCAATCTCCAGCAGTCGAGTTCAGTTGCAATACACCCCCTTCCGTGTATTCCTCAGAAGCCCGATTCCATTACGCCAGCCCCATTTGGCTGACAGATATGACGTGTCAGGGAGATGCACAAAGTTATTTTTCAAGCATACATTTCGGTGTCTCACTATGGGATATCCTAACTCCTGTATTGCCAGATAGCTTGTCTCAAAGTCACTTCACAGATCCTGTATCTTGACCCCTTTAAAGAGAGCCCACGACATTGACATTTCCCTCATTGAGTGAGCATGTATACAGGGTGGAGGCGTAAGACCTAGAGAAATTGCCTCCACCATCCAGTGGGATGAACGCTGTTAAGTGCAATACATGCCCAAAACACAAACAGCTGATCATTCTCTCTCAACCCTTTAGTTCTGTGTCAAATCGTAAAGCATGCTCTGGGCATAATGCATTCAGCCTTTGCTGTTCTGCTGAAGCAAAGGGCGGTGGGTAAAAGGCTCTTAACTCGAGGAATAATATAAATAACCACTTTGAGCATAAATGCAATGTTTGGTTTCAAAAGTAACAAGCACCAGAACCAAGAGCCGTTCAGAAAAAGAAGAAAATGCTTCAATGTTAGAAAAACAGCCAGCATTTCCAGGTAGTTTAAGTGTCATTGGATCAGATGGTGAACCCATCTTCTGTTCACTGTCCTGCCCTTGTGAATGCCCCTCTAGCTGGACAGCGATTATGACTTTCCTGGCCCGGACAACGCCCATGGTATCCCTTGCACCAGAAACGACAGGCGCCGCCAATGACACAGTGCCAAGACTGCCGCCAGACTGGTCCAGTCTCAAATAGGCTGCCCAACATTGGAACTTTCTCATAAATAGTCTGCCTAAGGGAATGACTATTAGAGCTGAGGCCATCAGAGCTAATAGTCTGAGGCATGTGCGAAGAGACTGTTTCCCCTCTGAAATTCGGCCAGGCATTGAGTACATTTTATCACTCTTTCCTGATAGTCACTCTGAATGTCACCGAATCCAGTGACCACCCCAGATATATTATTGACTGCTTGGGAACTAACACAGTCTTTTCTGTGTTTAATTTTAAGTCCAGTCTCTGTAGATCAGGGGTTACCAAACTTGTTCCTGGAGGGCCGGTGTCCTGCAGAGTTTAGCTCCAACCCTAATCAAACACACCTGAACTAGCTAATCAAAGTCTTGCTAGGTATACTTGAAACTTCGGCCCTGTCCCAAATGGAACACTTCATGTGCACTTTCGGTCTTGCAGACTTACAATGGCCGCTGTGTGCGTGTGTCCGTTAAGTCCACGAGACCGTAGGGTGTCCCATTCGTCATTTTAGCACTCAAAAAGGTGCTCGCGAGCGCCTCCTTTGCGGCCGCTATGCGCACTTTTGCTGAGCTCGCATCGGGGCGAGCTCCGCAGCAGACTTCTACCCGACAGTCAAAGCGCCATTACGTCATGAAAATGCAAACTCAGAGGAAGACCGCGAGGGTTTAGGGTGCGATTTGGGACAGGGCCTTCCAGGCAGGTGTGTTGAGGCAAGTTGAAGCTAAACTCTGCAGGACAGTGGCCCTCCAGGACCGAGTCTGGTGACCCCTGCTGTAGATGTTCTAGGAGCATTGCTGTGTGTTCTCTTGCTTTGTGCTCCGATTGAGCTGTCACTACCCAGTTGTCTATGTAAGTAGCGAGACTACTGATACTGTTGTGCTACTGAGTGCCCTTTGCAGTGAGCTGGACTGCTGATAGAGGGTGCAGGCGAAAGTGGCGTGGTGGCCAACAAGGTGTTTATAAGTACAATACCAAAAGGACAAGCCGTCAACCAGTGTGAAGACTAGTTGGTGGTATCTGAGTTTCGTGGGCTTCTGGTGTGAAGTGAGAAGAGGTTTTTGAATGTCGGCTCCTTTTAAACCAAGAGGAGGGAACCACTCCCTGACACAACATCATGTTGTAATGGAATTGGGCTTCTGAGGAATAAATCCGATAGTGAGACAGCGAAACGTATGCTTGAAAGAGAACGGTCACTGTGTAAATGATGGGCTGGTGGCTCCTCCTACTTAATAGGGTGTAGCTCCGCCCCTGTCTGGAATCAACCAATTACAGAATACAAATAGAAAAAAAGTCCAGTTTAAATGTAACTTTAGTACAGATGTGTGTTTATGCACACAATTTTGCATTAAAAAAAAAAATCTTTCTCTCAAAAAAAAAAAAAACATATATTCATACCCTTATCTGGGACAGGTGAAATTTAGCTCAGGAGCATTCATATTGCTTGTAAATATTATCACACTTTGAGGGAAGTTAACCTGTGGCAAATTCAGTTGAATGGCTATGATTTGAAAAGGCACACATGTCTTAATAAAAGGTCTGACAGCTGAAAATGCATATTAGAGCAAAGACCAAGCCCTGTAGAGTAAAAACTACTGCCAGTAGAACTCAGAAACAGGTTTGCGTCAAGCCACACTTCTGTGGAAGAGTTCAGAAAAAAATTCTGCTGCATTGAAGGTTCACAGAAGCATGAAGCCTTCATTATCCATAATGGAAGACGTTTGGAACAACCAGAACTCTTCCTAAAGCTGGCCAAACTGAGCAACTGACAGAGAAGGGCTTTGGTTAGACTGATGACCAAGAAGCTGATGGTCATTGTAGTTGAGCTCCATGATCATATATGCAGATGGGAGAAACCTACAGAAGGACAAACATCACTGCAACACTCCACTGATCTGGGCTTTATGCTGGTGTGGCCAAACTCAATCCTCTGCTCAGTGAAGACACATGAAAACACACTTGAATTTGCAAAACAGCACCTAAAGGACCCTCAAACTGTGAGAAACGAGATTCTCTGGTCTGATGAACCTCAATTCCAAGCATCACGTTTGAAGGAAACCAGCTCATCACCTGCAGAGTACCATCCCAAAAGTAAAGTGTGCTGCTAGCAGCCTCATGCTGTTGAGCTGCATTTCAGCAGCAGGGACTGAGAGACTCGTCAGAGAAGAAGAAAAGCTCAATGCAGCAAAATATTGAGATAGCTGTAATGAAAACCCAGTCCAGAGCATTCAGAACCTCAGACTGGGCAGAAGGTTCACCTTCCAATAGGACAGTGACCCTAAACACACAGCAAGAGTGGCTTATAGACAACTCTGTGAATGTCCTTGAGTGGCCCAGACACAGCCTGAGCTTGAACCCAATCAAATATTTCTGGAGAAACCTGAAGATGTGCATCTGCCCCCATCCAACCTGACAGAGCTTGAGAGGTGAAGAGGCTGAAGAAAGCTTGCCGCATCATACCTGAAAAGACTTGAGGCTGTAAAGGTGCTTCAGCTAAATACTGAGTTAAGGGTTTGAATACTTATTTAATGTACTTATTTCAGTTTTTTATTTTTTATAAATTTAAAAAGTTGTGACAGTTCTGTTTTTGCTTTGCCATTATGGTGCATGGAGTGCAGATTGATGTGGAAAAAAGTAATTTAAAGGGGTCATATGATGTTGCTAAAAAAACATTATTTTGTGTATTTGGTGTAATCAAATGTGTTTATGCAGTTTAAAGTAAAAAAAACACATTATTTTCCACATACTGTACATTATTGTTTCTCCTCTATGCCCCGCCTTTCTGAAACGCTCGATTTTTACAAAGCTCATCGTTCTGAAAAGTGAGGTGTGCTCTGATTGGCCAGCTATCCAGTGCGTTGTGATTGGCCAAATTCCTCAAGCGTGAGACAGAAATGTTACGCCCCTCAGTTTAACATAAGACTGCAACATAACAAAACGTGAAAAAAATGAAGGGGTTTGAATACTTTCACAAGGCACTGTATATGCATATGCACATATATAGTGCTGGGCAGTAACTGATTACATTTTACAATCTTAATTAGATTCCAAAAAGTAAGTACTTGTAATTCGATTATATTACATTTAAAAATACCTGTAAACAGACTACAGTTACTTTTTATTGGTTACATGATTATTCACGATCACATGACTTGCAGGAAAACAGATATAACATTCCATATCTTTATTTGATTGTTGTCATTTTAAAAAGATTTTAATTTGACATTTTTATGATTTAATTATTAGCTTTTCATTAAACTCACAAACCCCCTGCAGTTCCTTCATGGATTACGTTACTAACTACTGCCATTTTTGTCATGTAATTTGTAATCAGTAACGGACTACAATTTTTAAGTTATCTGCCCAGCACTACACACACGCACACACACACTCTCACAGACACACACACACACACACACACACACACACACGCACACACACACACACACACACACACACACTCTCACAGAGAAACTGCCCCCACACTCCCTCTCACACAGACACACACACACACACACACGCACACACACACTCTCACACACACACACACACACACACACACACACACACACACACACACACACTTTTGCAAACGTCACGACGATGTGCTCGGGACTTTTATTTTGAAACTGTGTCGTCATCCATAGGGGACACACTATGTGAGGCTCCGCCCCATCAGTAATAACAGATTGACACAGAGAGAGCGCAGCTGCCGACAGATATTCTGATATTCTTCTTCAGTGATCGGAGTAATGGAGGCAGAGAGCGCGGCGCAGAGACGCGCGGAGGTCCGCAGGAGGAAGCTACTGCTGAACTCCGAGCAGCGCATGAAGAAGATCGTGGGCTTCAGCCAGAGTGAGCCGGACAGCGGTGAGTCTCTCGGAGGAAAGCAGCGGACTCTGATTCAGATTCACAGCCGCATGAACAAACAGCGTCCCTCATATGATTCATATCATGTACAGTGGCCCCAAAACCGACTACACCTGATGGTCCAGAATCACGTGATCAATCCCCATTCACTTACATTAGATTCGTCACATAGAAATACTGCATCTGTATTCTAATGTAATGTTTCTTAGTGTACCTATTACAGTGTTCTAAACTGTTTTATCCCAGGGTAAAATGTGTGTTTCTTCATCAGTTTTGGAGAAATGTAGCACTGCATCAGTGTCTCAGCAATGGATGTTCTGCAGTGAATGGGTGCCGTCAGAATGAGAGTCCAAACAGCTGATAAAAACATCACAATAATCCACAAGTAATCCACAGCACTCCAGTCCATCAGTTAACATCTGGAGAAGACACAAGCTGAAACACATCCAGCATTAAGACGTTTTTAACTCAAATACCATTGAGTCCATAATCCATAATAACTCTTCCTCCAGAGAAAAAGTGTTCTGGTGTGAATCAGGAGAGAAATCTGCACAGATCAAGCAGCGTTTAAACAGCTCTAAACACATATGTGGCTGGATTTTGATGTGAGAGACAACAGCAGATGCACTTTTTCACTGGAGGAAGAGTTATTATGGATTATGGACTCAATGTATTTGAGTTAAAAACGTCTTAATGCTGGATGTGTTTCAGCTTGTGTCTTCTCCAGATGTTAACTGATGGACTGGAGTGCTGTGGATTACTTGTGGATTACTTGTGATGTGTTTATCAGCATTCTGACGGCACCCATTCACTGCAGAGCATCCATTGCTGAGACACTGATGGATAGTTCACCCAAAAATGGTGATCATTGGCATAATTTACTCATCCTCATGTCATTCCAAACCTGTATGAGTTTATGATGTTGAACACACAAGATATTTTGAATAATGCTAGTAATCAAACAGTTGATGGTACCCATTGACTTCCATAGTATTTCTTTTCCTGCTATGGAAGTCAATGGAACATTTTTCAAAATAACTTCTTTTGAGTGCAAAATAAATTAATTACTTCAGACTTATGTGGCTCTAGAAGCTTGCGTTCTGCAAGTGAACGTCGCTTTATTGTTCATCCCAAAGAGGCACAAAATCACTTTCACAGACTTTTACATTAAAGCGTTAGTTCACCCAAAAATTAGCCCATAAATTACTCACCCCCGAGGCATCCTAGGTGTGTATGACTTTCTTCTTTCAGACGAATCCAGTCGGAGTTATATTAAAAATCTTTGATCTTTCAAGCTGTTTAATGGCACTCAGCAGGTGTTGCATTGCTTCAATCCAAAAGTTAAATAAAAAGCGCCCATCCATAAAACAAGTGTCTCACACGGCTCCGGGGAGTGAACAAAGGCCTTCTGTAGCGAACCGATGCGTTTTTGTAAGAAAAATATCCATATTCAAAACGTAATAATCACTTTAATCTAGATTGCGCTCACTGTTGTACACAGAAGCAGTTCCGGGCGGATGACGTATGAGGTCAGCGCTGCGCATGCATTCCTATTCTCTACTTGTTTTCATTTTGTTTTGTTTATATACAGGTGCATCTCAATAAATTAGAATGTCGTGGAAAAGTTCATTTATTTCAGTAATTCAACTCAAATTGTGAAACTCGTGTATTAAATAAATTCAATGCACACAGACTGAAGTAGTTCGGTGGCAAGAGGGGCCACACATGGGGTAAAATGCAAATACTTCCGCTAAAATAATGTTTTTTAAATAATGTCTAAGTTAATACTTGTTCAAAACAATCACTTTAACAAAGTTTGTACTATTTTCTGCTTATTTTGAAAAATAAAAGAATTAATTTTTGTTCAATAAATATACTGTCGTTAATATTAAAATATATTTTAAAATATAGAAACAAAATAATTTTAATAAGTAAAGATTCTGAAAGCATTGAAGGAGATCCAATAATAATTGAATATAGATTTACAGTAGTAACAACAAATTATATTTTATTATATGATATGATTAATATCATGTTTTTAAATATGATGGTTTCATTCTAAACATGGTGATTATCTCTTAGATGGATACTCAACATTATATATGATATTTGCCATCTGAATCTAACCATGTCAAGAAATGTAAAAGTCAGCCATCTTTTAATTATCATGTTATTACTGTGCGCCTTTAGCCCCAAATACCTTACTTTTACATATTTTTTAGTTATTTAAAAACTGTTGCTTTATCTTAAACAAAACTGAAAATCATAAAGAAGACCTTTGTCTCAAACTATATGCATTAATTTGAGCGATTCTCATTTGCTACTTAAATCTACAACGTTTTAAAAAACATCAAATATTAGATCAAGTAAGCACAAAATCAACTTCGCACTGCGGCGCGCGATCGCGTCAAGGATCAGACAAATATACACCTGCATCTTGAAAAGCGGAAAAGTGCATTTTGGAAAGTGCTACGCCACGTTTTTGTGCCATCTAGTGGTTTAGATGAAAATAATATCAAAGGCGCCTTTAACCCCATTGTACCCTATATATATATATATATATAATGTATGTGTGACCCTGGCACAAAAGCAGTCATAAGTAGCACAGGTATATTTGTAGCAATAGCCAACAATACTTTGTATGGTGCTACGCCGTGCCATCTAGTGGTTTAGATGAAAATAATATCAAAGGCGCCTTTAACCCCATTGTACCCTATATATATATATATATATAATGTATGTGTGACCCTGGAGCACAAAAGCAGTCATAAGTAGCACAGGTATATTTGTAGCAATAGCCAACAATACTTTGTATGGGTCAAAATTATCCATTTTTCTTTTATGCCAAAAATCATTAGGATATTAAGTAAAGATCATGTTCTATGAAGATATTTAGTAAGTTTCCTACCGTAAATATATCACAACTTAATGTTTGATTAGTAATATGCATTGCTAAGAACTTCATTTGAACAACTTTAAAGATGATTTTCTCAATATTTAGATTTTTTTGCACCCTCAGATTCCAGATTTTCAAATAGTTGCATCTCAGCCAAATATTGTCCTATCCTAACAAACCATACATCAATGGAAAGCTATTTATTAAGCTTTCAGATGATGTATACATTTCAATTAAAAACAATTGACCCTTATGACTGCTTTTGTGGTCCAGGGTCTCACACACACACACATATATACACACACGTGTACTGCATTAGGCTAACTGAGACTTGTTATAGCACTTGTATATCATTGCTCTTTAGTTGATTCTGATTGCTTCTATTGTCCTCATTTGTGTCTTTGGTTAAAAGCGTCCGCTATATGATTAAATGTAAATGTAGCTATTCCTGTAAGTTGCTCGCTCACAGACTCGTGTGTTTGCCAGCAGCCAGAGTCCTGGAGCCGCGGCTGCAGCTGGATCTGGACGGGATGGAGGCCTGCTCCTCGAAGAGGCTGTCTCCGCTGCTGTCGGAGTCTCTGGGGAGCATCTCGGATGAAGCGGCGGCAGATGAGCGCTCGGCGTCTCCTCGCAGGGGTCTGCAGAAGTACCTGTCCCGCTTCGACGACGCCATGAAGCTGCGAGGACAGCTGTCCGCTGAGAAGCCGGCTCAGGACAGCGGCGGCGAGGAGGAGCTGGACTCGTTCTGTGTCTTCCGGCTCGTCTGCAGCGTCGCTCTGGCTGTCTTCGTGCGCATCTTCGTCTGCCAGTATCTGGTGAGTGCTGCACAGACGCAAACGCAGGCGTGGAATTCTGCTCATCTTAACTCCGTCTCTTGTGTTTTCGCAGTCCATCTTCGCACCGTTCCTCACTCTGGAGCTGGGCTTCATGGGATTGCACAAATACTTCCCAAAGGTTTGTCTCTGTTTTCTCACTGATAAAGTAAGTGAAACTGTAAAACACTTTCCACAGATATTGTGCAGTACTATATTTGTCCAGTTTTTTCGTGGTGAACTGATCGTAAGATGAATATGCGTCCAGACCTGCCTGTGAGTTTGATAAAACATCTTTCTAGTTAACCAGCCTCGCAAGGATTTCACACATTTACATTCTCAAAATCTCAGCAAAGCAATATTAGCTAATAAATCTCTGTAAATCCTGCTGCTGTATTGCAGCTAATGTTACAGTAAAGTGAGCAGGGATGTGTGTGTCTGAACTACACGAGAGATGCAGCTGCGCCAGCGATCCAACGCCTATTTTATTTTAGTGTGAAGTGTGAGGGACAAAGTGAAAGTTTCTAGAGGGTAATGATGCTATTAAACTACTGTATGTTATACTGAATATAATGTGTTTGGGGTAAGTTACAAATAAAAATGTTTTTGGTAACACTTTATTTTCAGGTGTCCTTGTTACATGTTCCATGTAACATGTATTTATAATAACAATAAATTATGCATAATTACGTACATAAGTAACCCTAAGCCAAATCCTAACCCTATAGTAAGTACATGTAGTTAATTAATATTACTCAGTACATAAATGCATAATTACACTGTAACAAGCACACCTTAAAATAAAGTAACTACATTTTTGTTATTTGAAATAAAGTAAGCATTGTTAAAAAAAAAAGTTAAAATGACTTTATTTTGGCTAGTTGCCTTGGAAACATCTCTCATTTTTATTTAGTTCAACTTAAAGTACTTAAAAATCACTACAACTGAAACAAAAACTAATTAAAACTATTAATTAATAAAAACTATAACAATATCTCAATGATACAAAAATAATACTGCCTTATAATGCCTGACTTTACCAGTAAATTACATTTAAATAAATATATTATTTATCTGTCTATGCATTTGTTTAAAAATAATGAGTTGATTACATGACTGAAAATGCCATTATAACAGGGTTCCCTCGCTTCTTGAAAGTACTTGCATTTCAGACATTTGGATTCAAGGCCTGGAAAGTACTTGAAAACAAACATAGGTCCTTGAAAGTGCTTAGGGTTAGGGATTAGAGTTTTCCGTCGCTACGACGGATTTCCGTCAATAAGAAAAATGAGGGGAAAAGAAACACGTAGCCCATTGTTGTTTTTCTGCCGGCAAACCAAAAACCATCCCCGCCACGGCTGCAGCTTCTCACTGACAACATAACGCCGCTCGCATCATTCACAGTCGGGTTATTAGCAGAGAACACAGAGCAGGACTTGAATTTCGGCGCAGGATTGTGGCTATTAATAATAATTGTACTCATTCCCGCAGGTTCCTCGCTTATAACACGATGACAGATGACGGAACTTATCATTTGCACGTGCTTTCGAGTCACGCGCTCTCATTTTCTGTGCGCCCACAGATCGCGATAAGGAGAGTGACAGCTTTTAATAATTATTCAAGGAGTTTGCAAATGTGATATTGATTTACGTGGAATTCTGCTCATCTTAACTCCGTCTCTTGTGTTTTCGCAGTCCATCTTCGCACCGTTCCTCACTCTGGAGCTGGGCTTCATGGGATTGCACAAATACTTCCCAAAGGTTTGTCTCTGTTTTCTCACTGATAAAGTAAGTGAAACTGTAAAACACTTTCCACAGATATTGTGCAGTACTATATTTGTCCAGTTTTTTCGTGGTGAACTGATCGTAAGATGAATATGCGTCCAGACCTGCCTGTGAGTTTGATAAAACATCTTTCTAGTTAACCAGCCTCGCAAGGATTTCACACATTTACATTCTCAGAATCTCAGCAAAGCAATATTAGCTAATAAATCTCTGTAAATCCTGCTGCTGTATTGCAGCTAATGTTACAGTAAAGTGAGCAGGGATGTGTGTGTCTGAACTACACAAGAGAGATGCAGCTGCGCCAGCGATCCAACGCCTATTTTATTTTAGTGTGAAGTGTGAGGGACAAAGTGAAAGTTTCTAGAGGGTAATGATGCTATTAAACTACTGTATGTTATACTGAATATAATGTGTTTGGGGTAAGTTACAAATAAAAATGTTTTTGGTAACACTTTATTTTCAGGTGTCCTTGTTACATGTTACATGTATTTATAATAACAATAAATTATGCATAATTACGTACATAAGTAACCCTAAGCCAAATCCTAACCCTATAGTAAGTACATGTAGTTAATTAATATTACTCAGTACATAAATGCATAATTACACTGTAACAAGCACACCTTAAAATAAAGTAACTACATTTTTGTTATTTGAAATAAAGTAAGCATTGTTAAAAAAAAAAGTTAAAATGACTTTATTTTGGCTAGTTGCCTTGGAAACATCTCTCATTTTTATTTAGTTCAACTTAAAGTACTTAAAAATCACTACAACTGAAACAAAAACTAATTCATGTTACATGTAACATGTATTTATAATAACAATAAATTATGCATAATTACGTACATAAGTAACCCTAAGCCAAATCCTAACCCTAACCCTATAGTAAGTACATGTAGTTAATTAATATTACTCAGTACATAAATGCATAATTACACTGTAACAAGCACACCTTAAAATAAAGTAACTACATTTTTGTTATTTGAAATAAAGTAAGCATTGTTAAAAAAAAAAGTTAAAATGACTTTATTTTGGCTAGTTGCCTTGGAAACATCTCTCATTTTTATTTAGTTCAACTTAAAGTACTTAAAAATCACTACAACTGAAACAAAAACTAATTAAAACTATTAATTAATAAAAACTATAACAATATCTCAATGATACAAAAATAATACTGCCTTATAATGCCTGACTTTACCAGTAAATTACATTTAAATAAATATATTATTTATCTGTCTATGCATTTGTTTAAAAATAATGAGTTGATTACATGACTGAAAATGCCATTATAACAGGGTTCCCTCGCTTCTTGAAAGTACTTGCATTTCAGACATTTGGATTCAAGGCCTGGAAAGTACTTGAAAACAAACATAGGTCCTTGAAAGTGCTTAGGGTTAGGGATTAGAGTTTTCCGTCGCTACGACGGATTTCCGTCAATAAGAAAAATGAGGGGAAAAGAAACACGTAGCCCATTGTTGTTTTTCTGCCGGCAAACCAAAAACCATCCCCGCCACGGCTGCAGCTTCTCACTGACAACATAACGCCGCTCGCATCATTCACAGTCGGGTTATTAGCAGAGAACACA